CAAGGGTTGCAGGAGAAAATAAAGAAAATATAAAGGAGACACCACCACACTAGCCACAGCAGCCAGGACCAGGTGCCCAGACCTGTGTCCCAGTGCGCTCTGGGCCTGTGTGCTGGTGGGACCAGCTGATGTTGCTGTAGAAGTGGATCTCCCTCTGAAGCAAGTTCTACGGTGCAGTCTCACCGAAGGAGTGCTCATAATCGCCCATTGCTGGAAGGAGACCGGGGAAATGCAGATAAAAATATCCCTGGTTTTTTTTATGCATGTTTCCAGCTGAAAATTGGGGAGAAAGATGTTTTTGAAAAGCCTTCATCTCTAAGCATGTAATTACCAGGTCCCAGAACAAAAAAAAAAAAGGGGGGGGGGAATTAAAGGCAACTGCAATGACGGGAATGTGAGCATAGTCCTCGAGGGAAGCGCCGGGGACTGAGCCCCATGGGGACTTTTCTATATATGACGTGGTCTCCTAACTTCTCACTGTTCTCAGTGAGTGAGACACCTGGATTTGCAGATAGAGAATAGAGGCTCAGAGCATAGCCAGGTTGCAGCTCTGGTCCTACTTTGATTCTTGGTTTGAGTGCTGTCTCAGTTTCCTCCATTCTGAGAATGTTCTTGAAGGAGGGGAGTTGTGATATCTTATCTGAAAAGGCACCAGCAGACACCATTCATTCCTTATGGGTGACTCCGAATGTGACGGGGGTGGGTACTGGATCAGAAATCTCTTAACCAGTATCTCTCCCAACCTGTGTGGCCTCCTGATCTCTAAGGGAGGCCTCAGGTGCAACCTGAAATGCCCAGCCTTACCAAGAGAGCTGCTCAGGCCCCACTTACGGCTGACTGATTGTGTGTCTGCATATGTACATGCACAGGGATGCACATATGTATGTGCATATGTATGTATATGTGTGTGCATGTACCCATGTGTGTACATGTGTCTCTGTGTTTGTATGTATGTGTGTGCATGTGCATGCACTTGTGGGTATGCATGTGTGCATACATGTACACCTGTGTGCATGCACATCTGTGTGAACCTGTGTGAGTGCACATGTGTATCTCTGCTTGTATATGTGTGTGTGTGCATATATATGTGTGGGGGGTGTGCACATGGAAGCCAGGGTTTGACATCAGGCATCTTCTTTAATTACTTTCTGCTTTATTTTTTTAGATGGGGTCTCTCACTGAACCTGGAACTCACCAAGTAGGTTAGGCTGGCAGGTCAGGGTGCCCTAAGGATTCTGTTTCTGCATTTCCAGCACTAGAATTTCAGGCACTTGCCACCATGCCTGACTTTCTGTGGGTGTTGGGGACCAGAACTCAGGTCCTAATGTTTGCATAGCAAGTGTTTTACCCACGGAGCCATCTCCCTAACTCCTGGTTACTAATTTTTCTACTATAAATCTTGGTTTGCAGTCTTGCCCTGTCAAAACTGAAAACAGGTGGCCGGCAGCCTGAACTCAAAGCTAACAGGATTTCTACAAGGGAGAAAGTTGGGGCCACTCAGTGTTAAGACTAGGAGACCCTTGCACTTGGCTACCACGTGGGAAACACTGTACTGAGTGAGATCTGAATACCAGGATGAGGAAAGGGGGGAGAGGCAGCTTTGAAAATGGGTAAGAGGACACCATAGGGACACTCCAGGATTTGGTTCTCTCTCAGCAGCTGGCTTACCCAACTCTGCTACAATGAGTAGCATTTGGGGGGACCCTACCAGCCCTCAGTTCTCTGTTCCTTCTATTTTATCTTTAGGGCTCAAAGCTCTACTTTCAACCCTGTGGCTGCTCAGTGCTGCATTCCAGGGGAGTCGCTGCTCTGGTCTGGGTGAACTTGGTCCTCAGCTTCCCTGTCTTTGAAACCCCCACTCTCATACCCTTCCCCATGATGTATAAACCTTGAAGTTTATCTGTGGTCTTCCCAGGACAGCACAAGAGGGAAGGAGCCTCAGTGGCAGATCTAATTTGTCTGAGATAAGGCACATTTTAATTTCAGAATTGCCCCTGTGAAATACTAGAGACATCGCCGTCACACAGTTGATGGGATCCAGTCTTTTTAATTTTATTAGCTCAGAAACATCTTGTTGGATCTAATGAAGGGCATATTAGGGAGCCGTAACAGGAGGCATTATACTTAATGGAGTGTTGCCTGAATTGGTGGTAGGTCTAGGGAGAGAGAGTGAACACAGAGCTCCTGGGGACCCTACTACAGGAGCCCTTTCTGCCCAATGCTACTTGCTGTAACTGCTGTTTGATGGGTTATTTACTAGCTTCTAGACTGAGCAGAGTGACTGGGGAAAGACTGAAGATGGTGAAGGTCCATAGACCCCAGCTGAGCTGTGTCTCAGCTACCCACATCTAAGTGGAGCGGTGGTTCTCATTGGGACTCATGGGAACACTTGGCAGCGCCTGGAATCATACCTGGCTGTCATAGGTGCTACTGGTGTCTGGTGACTAGAGACCAGGGGAGTTATGAACTCCCTACAATGAAGAGTTTCCCAAAAAAGAAAGGAAAGAAGGAAGGAAGGGTGGAGAGAGGGAGGGAGGGAGGAAAGGAGGGAGGGAAGGAAAAAAGAAAAAGAAAGAAAGAAAGAAAGAAAGAAAGAAAGAAAGAAAGAAAGAAAGAAAGAAAGAAAGAAAGAAAGAAAGATGTTCAGTAGTGCTGAGGTCTAGAACTTCCCTGTAGTTTGAGCTCCAGCCATAATCCTTGCTGTCTTGACCCAGGTTGACTCCTTGTTTAGAAAAGATCTGACTGGGATGAGACATGTGGCCTCTGTCACCTGTAGTGGGAGCTGTGGCTTCTGTCTGACCACAGTCCTGAGGCTTAGGGGGTGGGGAGACCCCCCCTCCCCCATATACTACAGCTGGGGGATGGCTGACCCACTGAGAAGTTTGGACCCCTGGGCTGTCTTTCTGCTTCAAGATGGAGCTTCCTTCAGGGACAAGTGAGGGGAATGTGCAGGTTCAGGAAAGGCCTGAGGAAGCAGTGGGAACTTGTAGGACTGCACCTGGGACTAGGAATGATGTTCTTTCCGGGGACAGCACGGGGGCCTGCCAACTTAATGGCTGTCAGACTAGTGCTGAGAAAAGACACTTAGGGGAATAACAAGAACAGCCTGGTCAAGGGATTCTGGAGCAAGGGGTGGGGGTTGGGGCACTAAGACTGCCTTGGGCTTGCCTATCAGAACCTCAGTTTCCTCATCTGTCAAGTGGACATGATAATCTCATCTCCCTCCTCCCCGAGTCACTGTGAGCATCAAATGAAAGCACGGATGGGGTGTGTCTGAACAGGAGAGTCTAGAAAGGGCACTGTGGAAAGTGAGGGGCCACTGCAGGAAGGGAGCAACAGTGGCCTACCACAGAGGTGACCTGGTACCTTGCAGCTTTAGACAGTTCTGAAACACAGATGAGCTCCTAGGAAAACCCCATGTACCAAAAATGCTGCTGGGGACCCTGGGAAGGGGTTGAGGAGGTTGCCAGTCAGCTTGTGGGATCCTTAACTTAGATAGAAATCCAAGGCAAAAAGCAGTAGTGGAAGTCCCTGGCCTTGTGCGCCCGAGGTCCAGGAGCTGGTCTGGCAGAGCCAGAGGCTGCAGCTGAAACCCAGAGAGCCAAGGCCCTACAGCTGGGGGTTCATTGCCCTGGGTAGCTATTGTAACCCCATTAGTGTCATGGCTCCCAGAGGAGCCTGGGGTGCTGGGACCCTCAGCTCTACAGCCACAGTAGCCTCTGGTACAGAGTGCCATGACCTTGCTTTTAAGGCCTGGCAGTGGCTGGAATTCTTTCTTCAGTGACTATGGTCATGGTTTTGCATCTTGAGTTCAGTCTCTACAGACACTGCATAAGGCAGGACGGTGTCTCCAGCTTACAGAAAGGAAGTGTGTCAAGCGTGTTTGCACCCATCACAGCACAGCTCTTCCATGCACATAAAGGACTGTGCTTATGCCAGTCACAGTGAGGCCCTTTGCAGAGCTGTGCTCCAACCAATCACAGGCCCTCTAGCAGGAGAGATGGAGAGAGAGTGGACTGGCTCAGCTGGAGGTCACCAGGGCCGGTCTGCTGAGTGGTTGGAGTTTCTGGGTAAAGTTGGTGCTGCTGGCCTGGTGCCACCTTGTAAGTGCTTCTGTATTGTGCCACACTGTTGTCCCTGGTGTCCTGGGGGAGCCATTTCCAATGCTTATGTATAGTAATGTCCACAATGCTTGGGTCCCCTTCATAAAACACTGTCATATTTGAGTGTCACCTGTGCACATCTCAAGAATTGCCAACCCCCTGTATCTCTGGGGTTCCCCTCCCATGAGTCAGCCAACCACCCATTCATTAAAAGTACTGGGGAGAAATTTGTCTGCACTGAACATGCACAGGTCTTTTTCTCATTGCTTTCTTTTTTAAAAAAAAATTTATTATTTTTATTTATTTTTTTAAATTTTTATTTATTATTTTATTTTATGTGTATGCGTGTATTGCCTGCATGTAGGTAAGTGCGC